TTTCACCATTAATTCGTAGTGTGGATAGTAAAGCCATTCCTGAATTTAAATAAGACTGTTATTGTACCGCATTAGACTCAGGTGGTTATAGCTACGCCTTTTGTCTGGGCCGTTTATCAGGAAGCATCTTGGTGACGATTATGGAGACGTGGCTTCGAGCACCTTACTGTATATACCCGAGAAGTCGATCCCTCTCACAAGGTTGTTTTTGAAGGGAATAACCCGAGATGAAGACCAAAGGAACGAATGCAAATCTCCACGTTGGGGGAGCTCGATCAGTTATGCACACAGATTCTCATAATAGGAAGAGTGTCGGCTTGGGGGGGGGGTGATAGGCTGGCGAGGATATATGATAATACAATGGGAGGTGGAAGGGGGAGGCAAGGAGGAGGCAGACGGGGGGAGTAAGGAGAGGAGATAGAGGAAGAATGGAAAATGCAGGAGAGAGGGGACGGAAGGAGGAGGGAGAGAGGAAGGAGAAGGGATGGAAGATGTAGGGGAGTGTGAAAGTCAGATGGTAGGCGAGAGGAGTTGAGGCAGTGACTTGTGTTGTTAAGATCAAGGAATATATTACTGGAGACTTGGAGGCGAGATCCCCCCTCCTCCCTCCTCCCTCTCCCTTAGTGGAGAAGAAAATTTTACATGGAAATTATGATTGAAAAACAACTCTGTATTATTTAGCATTTATCTCATAGTTGATAGATGGCGAAGTGTTCAGGTAAGTGTAGAACACGGACACGCACGCACACACGCACGCACGCACACACGCACGCACACACACACACACACACACACACACACACACGTTTCGTTGTGCATGTACTGTATCCTGAAGAAGTTATACGTAATTTATTGTTCTATCGTACTGTTATCCTGATTCGGTTCTCTTGTTCACTCACCAATTATGTTATGTTACGTTTCGTCGAAAATTTGGAACACGAGTCACATTTTAATGTTTTTGGTGATACTGCTTTTATTTTTATGATTTCTATTCTAGTTCATACAAAGTTTAACTTAATATTTTCGAGATTATATTATTTTAACTTAACTTTTTCTCGTTATTGGTATTTTGAACGTAACTCGAGTTTATAACATTTTTAACAACGGCTTCTAGTTTATAAAATTATTAACGTAACTTTTATTAGCCTTTCATGTTGCAGATTCCTGTTTAACACTTCAGATTATATTAGTGTTTGTAGTCGGACATTGCTTAATGTAACCTCGTAAAGGCACATGTACCAAGGAAGTCATTATACTTCTGAGCCTCCCATTGTGCGTAGTTATGGTCAGGAAGCCGCCATTCTTCTGAAGCTATTAGGATGTACACACCAAAAAAAAAAAAATATATATATATATAAAAATTTTGAGCTGGATAATATGACAACGGACGAAATTGACAACACTACCGAGACAGCAATCTTCACGTGGTCCGCCTCAGCCCCTTTTAAATACCACGGGTTCTTATTACTGTTTACAAATCTAGTTTATTCTGCCATTTTTTGTAGTTTTAGAGAAGCTTAACCTAAGCTGACCTAACTAAACTACTTTATGTATTTGTAACGCCATATCCAGCGATGAGTGTTTATAAGTGATGATGTAGCTTGTGTGTTTGTGTATGTAGGGTGTATGTGTGTATTTCTGTGTATAAAGGGTGTGTATGTTTGTGTATCAGTGTGTTTCTGTGTATGTAGAATGTACGTGTGTGTGTGTGTGTATGTAGAATGTACGTGTGTGTGTGTGTGTGCGCGCGCGCTTTTGTGTGTGTGGACGGGGGGCATTAATTGTAGTCTCCTGCTGGGGATGATGACGACGGGTATCACTATTATTCCAGTGATCTATCATACTTTTGTGTTCCTATTGTCTCTAGGTTAACCTTTTGTGAAGGGAGGACTCACTCTCTCTCTCTCTCTCTCTCTCTCTCTCTCTCTCTCGCGGAGATCGTTTACTAACCCCTTGTGTATAGGGGGGGGGACTGTATGTGCTGAATAAAATCGTTAGCTGTTAAATAAAAAAGGTGGACCGCCCCGTAGTGAAGTGATATACTGTTAGCACGTGGGTAGGTCCGGTGCTCTCTCTACTATCCGTGTGCCTAAGTCTATGTTCCTGTATGTGAACTAATTATTTAAATGAATTTAGTAAGGGTGTGTAGCGCCGGGACACTCAGTCGACGTTCTCACCTTGTTCCGGTATCAACTATAGAAGCGTTTCCTATTCATTTGAAACCGTAGAGGCGGTATTGTTTTAATATGTGGCAGGTGGTGTGTACACTGAGCGGGTGTCGTGTTCGTAAAGGTCACTCACCGGTGTCACTGTCGATTGTGGTGTGAAAGACCCCTGCTGCCAGATGCACTAGCTCATTTGATTTATTTATTGGAGGACTATTATTTACCAACCTAACTGTTTTAAGATTTACATTAACTAACATGTATTTGGGTGATGCTTATTACTGTTATGTTTGTGTTTTGTATGTATGTATGTATGTATGTATGTATGTATGTATGTGTAGGTGAGCAAGTGTAGAATATGGTAAAGTTTTGTGTAGTGTAGTGGCGTCACGTTGTTACCATGACGACCAGCGCGTCACGTGTGCCGCCCCAGGCTGGCCGCAGCGTGGCCACTGTCATGCTGCACGCAACCTTAAACCCTAACATCAATTTCATATTAAACCTGGAAGCGACAAGGGGAATTTCTTTTGGAAGACAGTTCTTGGCCTTGGCAGTGTCTTGAGTCTTGTTTTCTCGTCTTATGTATGGATTTTTAGTGGCGTGCCCCCAGGGCGTATATTGATTTATACATGTGCATCCTCACCTACTTCCGTCTTGCCAAATATATATATATATATATATATATATATATATATATATATATATATATATATATATATATATATATATATATATATATATATATATATAATCGTACGGACAGGACAGGACAGGACGGGACGGGAGGTGATTGGCACCCACGGTAATATCTAAAATTGCTCCTCGTCTGCCGTCTTTTTATTTGAAGTCTTTCCCTCGTCTGCTGTCGTTTTCTTTGATGGGCGCGAGTCAACTGGGAAGATAGAATGTTAGTTTTCATACTTTTGTTGGGTGATGACAGTTTAGCAGTACAGTACACACTGCCCTGAGTGTCAGTCATTATGTGGAGTTTGAAGATCAAGTCGAAGACCCTGTAGTAGTAGGAAGTAGATACACACTCCTTATATGCCCTGAAGCTGTTAACCTAGAGCCACGAACTCTCTTTAATGATGGCAAGTTAACAATCTAAGAATTACGAACCTCGTGATGAACAGGTAACACTACTGAGGTGCACGAGGCCACTAGTCATAATGAGGTATTCCAGCACGGCACCAGACGCCAGTATTAAATGTTGCCGAAGGAAGATTTTCTGTACTTACCCGAGTTAACCAGATCAACTTTGGTCTTGTTAGCCACAGATGAACGTATACACTAGAAGGGAAAGATGAGAGGTATTAGTGTCTTGATGAGTGACCGTAAAGGAGGTGTATTAGTGAGACACGACTGGGAAGTGTGCAACAAGGTTATGATTTATGTCGGTCATGTTTAATCCAGAAGGTGTATTATGGTTTGGTTGTAGTGTGATGGTGACGTCAATTTTGTGAAGTGGTGACATCATTGTGGGAGGTTGTGATATGGTGGTTATAGCAATATGGGGTGGGGGTAGTCTGTTTGATTGGTTGTGATGTACAGGCAGTGACATCAATCTCTGGGTGGTCTTGGTTGTGATGTACAGGCGGTGACATCAATATCTGGGAGGTCTTGGTTGTTATATAGAGGCAGTGACATCAGTCTATGGGTAATATCAGTGCTGCGATTGTGACATCAGTGACGGAGTTTGTGATGTGAGGGTGACGTCATTCACTAGGTGCGGGATTTGCAGATAATCTCGGAAGTGATGTGACATCAGTGTGTGGAAGCTGTGAGGGCTGTGTGTAGCCGGCCATCTTCTGAGGCCAACCACCCGTACTGTTAGTTCTACTACTACTGGTGCGTCTGCTGCTAGCGGTGGTGTACACTAACGTGTCGTGGCGGGAGCTAAGGACCATATTTTAGGGACCTTGATACGTCTAGATGCCACAAGAAAGATGGTCAGCTCGAATATTGTTGGATTTTGAGGATGGATGTGGCAACTGTTGCCAGGGCCACGTGTTCGGTGGCTCTTGTGTCTCCCTCCCCTCCCACATGTTTGCTTCAGGCGTTGCCAAGACCATGTGATTGTCAACGCCTCCCACATGTTTGTTATAGACGTTGCCAAGACCACGTGGTTGATGGCTCCAGTGGTTGTCAACGTCAGCCATAAATTTGCCTGAGGCGTTGCCAAGACCACGTTAAGTGTTGTCACGGTCCGTTGCCAAAGGTACGTGCATTTGGAAGAAGCTTGAGTGTCCGTGGTCTATGAATAGATAACGCAAAATGTATTTTATCTCTTAGTACTTTGCAGTGCTCGTTAAAGCAGCTGTGTTGTGGGACAAACTACACTTCGTGTTGAAGATGTTTGTATCAATCTGATAAAAACAACTGAATTTTGCTGGCAGGGTGGGAGGCCAGCCGCGTACCCTCACTACGATTTATTATGACCCTAAAACATATTAACCTCTTGGCTCAGTTTCAATTATATTGTCTCGTTGATATTTAGTGTGAATTTAGTGTTTGTTGCTTTGTGGGAGTTTCATCTTTAGCTGCTACCTTCCTGCAGGTCAGCCAAGTGAACCTCACCAATGTTATAATTAACAATTTCCTTAAACTTGTGTACATAGGACCTTGAGATGTTGGGTTTAGACGTTTGGAACATACTGTACAGTAGTAGATGTGGCAACCGACCAGCGAGTCTACCCTTGTTTGACACAAGGGTAGTAATTGATTTCATGTTTAAAACTGGCCAGTGAATACCTGTTTACCTCTGACAGTGTTTGACCCCTGACTAGTGTGTACTGGTACAACGTGTATGGCTAATGTTGTGTTCTCTCCCCGTAGATCGTGAGGACGGCGACCGTGACATCACCATCACAACCGCAGAACATAGCACCAGGAGTCTCGTGTTATCGGTTCAGCAGCCACAGGGACCCCACCCCAGGAAGCAGTGTTAGTCGGGGAGGACTCAGAGTATTAGCGAGTGAGTATCTGGAGTTCATGTACTGTACTAAAACCGTCTTGTTGGATCCCGGTGTGCTGTCTGTCTCCAATTTGGCAGAATCCTTGCGTATGCTGACGTGGCGTGTGCTGATTGCTTCATGCCCGCCATGACGTCTCCTGATTGGTCCGTCCTCACCATGACGCCCACTGATTGGTCCTTTCCACCTACATAACGTCCACTACTATCCCTCCGAACTGTTCTCCCTTCACACTTGATGTCCAAACATAACCTTATCAATAATAAACTTTACCGAGCTTAGTAATGGCAGACCTCATGGTGGGAACACAGGAGACAGCTAACACAATGCTTACAAGTGCTCGGGTTTTGGTCAACTTGTAGACTTGACCAGCAGATCCTGTCAACCGGGAGAATTTTTTCCACATGTCCTTTTTTTTCCATAGAGAGCTAACGCCAGTAGGGGCCACACACTACCCCTCGTGGTATTGATGTGAACCAAGATCCAGGAGAAAGATTCTGTGCTTTTGTATGTAAACCTTTATTCCTTCAGGAAGAAAATGATTGGCTGACCAGGTAAGTGAAGCAACACCCTGAAACACACAGTACATTAACCTAACTACAAATAATGACACCTATGAAAATTATCTATGCATGTTAAGGTAAACGTAATCGTACTAAGGTGTTAATGTACTTGATGTAAGCTTCATTTGTCGGTTAAAGGAGCCCAGGGGAACACTTCCAAGTCTGCGGCTCATCTACCTAGACTAAACTACATTTTATCTTAGAAAGTGAACTTCACTGCTCTTGAAATCCTCAACACTCAAGTCTATTAAATTAAAGAACACGGATAAACAGTTGTAAATATCTTCGGTTTTATTTTTCTCTTAAAGGTCGAAATTTTGAGTTTAATCGACGGTCGCGAGGCAGTCCTACGTTACTAGGTGTGTTATGTGGCGGTAATATACCTCGACGAGACGGCTGGAGGAGGACACTTGACCTCCATGGTTTAGCCTGTGCCAGTCGTCCCATTACCTTGCATTGTATCGCTTTGAGTTGGCCTATAAAGAGAGAATAATAGCTAGGGTTGAATTGGGTGGACAAGCCAGTGAATTAGCCATGAAAGCCTCCAGAGTGGGAGCACGACAAAGTGGTGGCAACTGTGGTCGTGTGGCGACGGACCCGCAGGCTAAGAGGTTGTACCGGCTATGTTTACGTTCTCTTTCTGATAGTTGATGGGCAATACCCGTAAAGAACTGTCCACTTTGTTGCTGGGACGTGTTACTTGAGGCGTGTCCCACCTGGTATTTTTTTTATCTGCTCAAGAATTGTTGTATTTCCTTTTGTGATGGAAAACACTGCTGCTCGTGATGTGGTCAGAAAGACGTAATGTTCTTGATCTGATTTACAAAAGTTTAGCTGTTCTTTCTTACCGTAAATATCAGTGGGGAAGAGTATGTTGTGGTGGTGTCGAGTTGTATGGTCAAGATGACTTGTTTCTCGTACCGTCAAAAATGTAACGTGATGGGTATCCTTCACTGTACAGGAGATCATTTCCCAGCATTATTCAATCATTGGCACCCTCTGAAAATCTATTTGGTGAAAAGCAAATATAGTCGCGGTAAATGTGTTGTGTGTACTGTTCCGTACTTCACAACAGTACAGTACATGTATGTTGATGACAAAGCTGCGAGTTAGGTGCAGATATTTTTTTACAACTCAAGAAAAAAAAAGTTGTAATTTGCCTCCAAGATTTTGTGTACAGTATTTAATATCCATGAGTGGTGCGGATCTCTCCCAGGAGGAGGTACAGGTAGTGGTTAAGTGAGGTGCTCATAGCCTGTACTTATCACTATGTGGCTCTCTTGATGTTACTACTTTAGATTGTAAACAGGTTTATTGTGTTGCTCGCTGACGATGAGCCCACCAAGTTTTTAATTATTAATGTGAAAAGTGAATGTTGATCCCATAGACCTTGGCGGCTCATTGGGACTGGCCGGCACGGTCTCCCACTTACCTCAACTGTACAGTTTGGTGACCATGCTGCAGCTTGATCACCGGTGGCACTTGAAGTTTGGTAGCCACGCCACTACACTACTTATTAATGCTGGGGTAGTGGAAGGGCTTGCTCTTCTAAGTCCGTCGTTAAGAATATTCTCATGGAAGACCTGATTCCTGGATAAGTAGATTGAAATGTTATTTGTTTGTGACAGAAACATGAACTTTGTCCTGGACTGGTGGATTCTGTTCATTTTTCCCGGGGGGAGGGGGGAGGGGGGGGGATCTACAGTATTATAGATCCATACCAGTGATCGCGGACACGTTCGTGCCCTTGTGAGAGTTTGAACCCTCGTGACAGCATACAGTACAGCGAATGAGGGTGTGTCAAGTCCGTAGACTTGCATGGATAATTAGGGTGCCCCAAGTCCGTAGACTTGCATCGTTTTCCATCGTAAATAAAATTGTTAACTACTGCCTTCCTAAAGAAACCATCGACATGGATCCAGTTTTGTTCCACTCTACGATTTTTTTTGCGAATTTTCCACCAAGTTTGATGAAAAAAGATTGTGCCGTTTCCGCTGCCCAGAACAGACACACACACATGCCTAGTCCTATAGTATATAGATTCAAATATTTAGGGGTCTCCACTCCAACCATAGTCCTGTATGTTGCTGCATTATAAATCCACAGACTAAATTAACAGTTTAATGTAAAACACTTAGATGAGATTCACTTATACAAGTTTTCTCTAAGAATTTTTCTCTTGAACATGCTAGAAAGATTCTAGACTTATGAAATGGATTCTTATACCATATCCATGGTGAAATAGGTTGATATGTAGAGTATAATATTTTGATTCAAGAATTAGTTTAGGTTATTGTTTAATTTGATATTTTTAAATTCCAAAGCAGTATTCGAAGCTTTGCTATTTTTTAAAAGCTCGTATCGAGTGTAAAATACCCTGATAAAGCGGACTTAATGCTCATCCAGTGTATAGAAAGTTAAATTATAGGAGGTGCGAGAAGTTGACAATCCATTACGTGTAGTGTTAAGTGTAAGGTGGGCGAGTGGCCCCCTGGAGACCTGGCCCAGCTGATGGTATAAATTACGTCATTACCAGCCGTCTACCATTACCGCCCCAATTATCTTGTTGCTGCAAAATTCTACACCGTTGTGTCGAGGGACCTCCCACCTAATTGCTCGACCTGCTGCTGGCTTCACTGCCTCCTCTACTTCCTCTCATCACACCTCTGAAACATTACTGATACAATGATTCTCTTTACTCAATTGAAATACCTTTAGAACATTATACTTTGTCTTTCTCAATAATTACCATAGGTGAACGATTGATCAGTAGTTAAGAGATGATGATTTATTCTCATTGTAGTGTGCCGGTACAGATGTGATATTTATTAACTGTTCCCCGACTTCCTCCACCCGAGTGTTTTATTATGAACCACAGATATAAATTACCCAGAGAGTACATTACTTCTTTAGTACTGTACAGATTAATAGGGTGTGTGAACCCCTCAATTACTGTACTGTTCTTGGCAGGGTCATTAACTATTGCTGTATGTGTTGGTGTACGTTAACCCCTTGTGCTACTAGGCGACGATGGCCCTCTAGTAGTACCTCACCTCTATACTAGGCTACGATGGCCTCCACCTAGTACCTCACCTCTATATACTAGGCGACGATGACCTCCACCTAGTACCTCACCTCCATACACTAGGCGACGATGACCTCCACCTAGTACCTCACCTCCATAATACTAGGCGACGATGACCTCCACCTAGTACCTCACCTCTATATACTAGGCGACGATGACCTCCACCTAGTACCTCACCTCCATACACTAGGCGACGATGACCTCCACCTAATTACCTCACCTCCATAATACCCCTTTAGGCTACGATGACCTCCACCTAGTACCTCCTCTATATATTAGGCGACGATAACCTCCCACCTAGTACCTCACCTCCATACACTAGGCGACAGTAATCACCTAGTACCTCACCTCCTAATACTAGAGCGACGTGAGCCTCCCCTAGTACCTCACCTCCATAATACTAGGCGACGATGACCTCACCTAGTACCTCACCTCCATACACTAGGCGACGATGACCTCCCCTAGTACCTCACCTCCATAATACTAGGCGACGATGACCTCCACCTGGCCTCACCTCCATAATACTAGGCGACGATGAGCCTCCTTGGTCCTCACCTCCATAATGCTAGGCGACGATGACCTCCCCTAGTACTCACCTCCATAATACTGAGGCATTGATGACCTCCACCTAGTACCTCACCTCCATAATGCCTAGGCGACGATGACCTCCCCTAATTACCTCACCTCTATATACTAGGCGACGATGACCTAGTCCACCTAGTACCTCACCTCCATACTAGGCGACGATGACCTCCACCTAGTACCTCACCTCCATACACTAGGCGACGATGACCTCCACCTAGTACCTCACCTCCATACACTAGGCGACGATGACCTCCACCTAGTACCTCACCTTCATACAGGGAGAAGGTGTGTGTGTAGCTTGATCCTGGTAATGTTTGGCCAAGGTCACGCTGGAGCTATTTACAGACAGCGAGGCATAAAATGTTGGGCCAGCCGCAGTGAGTCTTGACGGTCATGTTTGCTCGCTGGTGTTGCATTTAGCTCCCACTGGTGTTGTGTGGATGGTGTTGTGTGTGTTTAGTCTGGCTGGTGTGTGTGTGTGTGTGTGTAGTCTGGATGGTGTGTGTATAGTGTGGTGGTGTGTGTGTGTGTGTGTGTGTATAGTCTGGATGGTGTGTATAGTGTGTAGTCTCTGGATGGTGTGTGTATAGTGTGGTGGTGTGTGTGTGTAGGTAGGTAGTCTGGATGGTGTTGTGTGTATAGTGTGCGGGGGGGGGTGTGTGTGTGTAGGTAGGTAGGTAGTCTGAATGGTGTTGTGTGTGTGTGTGTAGGTAGTCTTGGTGGTGTCGTTTGTGTAGTCTGGATGGTGTTGTGTGTGGTTTGACTGG